TTCTCTCTGTGTAACTTTGACTTTCAAATAAATAAATAAAGTGACTTGATCAGCATAGCCCTGACTGTTAATGAACAACTTAATATATATCCCTCTAGTAGTTTTTTTTGTCTGTTCTACTTAATATGACTGGTTTAATTCTGTAATTAATACACAGTTATTCTTAAGTGTTGAAAATTAACTGAAATGTGATCCCTGTTAAACATAAGAGTGGGAATAAGAGAGGGAAGAGATGTACAATTTGGGACATGCTCAAGGTGACTTGCCCCAAATGGTAGAGTTAGAAACATACCAGGGGAATCCAATTTAATCCCATCAAGGTTGCATGTACCAATGCCATCTCACTAGTCCCAGTGATCAATTTCTGTTCACAATTGATCATAATGAAAGGACTAAGAGTCAAAGGGAGCACATAAACAAGTCTAGTACCTGCTACTACTAACCAATAGAATAAATAAAAGGGAGAGTGATCCAACATGGGAAGCGAGATACTCAGCAGACTCATAGAATGGTGGATGTCCTAAACAGCACTCTGGCCTCAGAATCAGCCCTAAAGGCATTCCGATCTGGCTGAAAAGCCCATGAGAGTATTTCAGGCATGGAAAGCCAAGACACTCTGGCAAAAACAAAACAAAACAAAACAAAAATCCTAAATGAAAGATCTCCGGGAGTGAGATCCCAGTGGAAAGAACAGGTCTTCAAAGAAGGAGGTACCTTTCTCTGAAGGGAGGAGAGAACCTCCACTTTGACTATGACCTTGTCTAAACAAGATAAGAGTCGGAGAACTCAAGGGGCTTCCATAGCCTTGGAAACTCATGACTGGAGCATAGGGAGATTACTGATGCCATAGACAGGAGTGTTAATTTGTAAAGTCAACAACAGGAGTCACTGTGCACTTACTCCTCATGTAGGATCTCTGTCCTTAATGTGCTGTACATTGAGACTTAATGCTATGATGAGTGCTCAAACAGTATATTTCACTTTGTGTTTCTATGGGGGTGCAACCTGTTGAAATCTTTACTTAATGTATACTAAACTGATCTTCTGTTAAAAAAAAGAAGAAATTATCAATTCCCAATTTGACTCTCACTGGGATTAAACATGACAATAGGTCTGATCTGATTTCATCATCATTTAAAAAATCATCTATTATTTTTCACTTTATGTTTCTGTGTGGGAACAAACTGTTGAAATCTTTACTTAATGTATGCTAAACTGATCTTCTGTATATAAAGAGAATCGAAAATGAATCCTCATGTGAATGGAAGGGGAGAGGGAGTGGGAAGGGGGAGGGTTGTGGGTGGGAGGGACGGTATGGGGGGGAAAGCCATTGTAACCCATGAGTCGTACTTTGGAAATTTATATTCATTTAATAAAAGATAAAAAAAAATAAAAATAAAAATAAAAAAAAATAATCCCAGTGAGAGTCAAGTTGGGAATTGCTAATTTCTTCTTCTTTTTTTTTTTTTAACAGAAGATCAGTTTAGTATACATTAAGTAAAGATTTTGTTGTATTTCTTTTATTAGCAAATAAACTTTGGATCTCATGAAACACCAAATTTATTATACTCCCATAAGGAAAAATATTTCCTTTAACCCCAGTACTGTGAAAAAGATAGGTGATTCTGCATTTCATAAGTGGGACAATTAAGTACTAAATTATTTTCCCAGTTTCACTGGGGACTTACTTCCTCAAATACTACTTTTCGGATGTATTAATAGAGACTGTCTTGTGAGGGGCCAGTGTGTTAATTTAGTTATTCCATTCTTGCATATTTTTTCTTTTGTCGACTTCTCTCTCTCCTCTCCTCTCCTGATTTAAATTTGATTTATTTGAGAGGCATAGAAACAGAAAGAGAGAGAGAGAAACAGAATCAGAGAGAGAAAGAGAGAGAACACCTATCTTCTGGCTTACTCTCCAAATGCCCATAACTGCTGAGCCTGGGCAAACAGCTATCATTCATGGTCAAGGAACCATAATGATGGTCAATAAACCATATTTTGTGACTTTCCAATTTCGAGTATTCTACCCTTTTTGCTGTCAGAAACTCAACCCAGGTCTTATGTAGATGTCAGGGACCCAATTACTTGAGCCATTACCTGCTGCCTCCCAGGTTCCACGTTAAAGGAAGCTTGAGTCAGGAACTGGTCAGGAATCAAACCCAAACATTCCAGTGTGTGGCTCAGGTATTCTAACCATTAGGCTGAACATCTGCTCCTCTCTTTTATAAAATCTTTTCAGTTTTTTCTGCCAGTGCCAGAAGATTTAGGAGTTTATTTTCTTTTTTAAGAAGCATCATAATCTGTTTTAATTTCACTCTCTAAAATCCTTTGTCATCATTTAACAGGTTACAAATGGAGGCATGTAGTCCCATCCTGCACATCAAAGGTAATTAAATCTCAGGGGCTTGCCAGGATTTATAACTGCTTAAGCTGTGTGCTTGCTCTTTGTAAATGTAGCTTAACTTTGTGATTAAATTGCATCCTGGTTTTTAGTCTGGGACCACTTATGCTTTTGCTTGTGTAAAGTTGTATGTGTTTTCACTAAAGATTAGCAAAGCTGTTCAAAGAGATGGAGGAAAACAAAGCATCTTTAAAAAGAATAAAAAGATAAGCATTGGCTTTTTTCCTCCCTTGCACTTGCCCAGCCCACCGTCATTCCCCTCAAGTTTGGGTGCAAGAAGTAAAATACCATAGTAAGCCTATGTAAATTACACAAATGTTGGAATCTGGTGAAGCTGCAAGATGATGAAAAACTCTGCCCAGAGCTTTCCAAGAGGTTCAGCTTTCCGTTCAGAAGAGGTTCATTTGCATAATCCCCAGGATCCTCTGGAGTCTCTGTTCAAAAAAGAAAGGAAAAGCTTTCTTCATTCATAACCCAAGGGTGTCTCTTTTCCTTGACATTGCATTGACATTGTACCTGGGCAAAACAGCACTGCAGTGTAGATGGTCTAGAAGCACTTAGGCCTCTGCACGCTGCCTTTCTGGAAGCTTTTGCTGTCCTTCACGTCTGATCGACTCATTTTTGAGTGTTCTGATTTCATGTGAGGATTTGGCCGTATTGAAGTGGTGTCCATGTCTCTCTACTTTCCCCCTTCATCCCCATCAGATGAGGCTGAATTTATTTGACCACCTCTCTCCCTATGTTTGTCGTAAAGTTGTTCTGCCTACAGGTACAAAGGAAAGGGCAGAAGGATCTACTTATGGGCAGAAATACCAGTGCCAGTTAAAAGTTCCCCTGCTTCAACACCAAAAAGAGAACCCATTTGTTAAGAGAATGAGAGTCTTATCTGTTCCATATTGCAATTTGCTAAGTTCTCTGTGGTTATTGTTTTCTCTGTGTAAGAAACAACTTTATGAGTTAGGACATTAAGAAATCATCAGTTTAAGGAAAAGCCAACCTCCAACCCACCAACCCAGAAAAGAAAAGCTCCCTGCATTCCAAGAAATCTCAAGTAGCCTTACTAGTACCCAGGAGTATCCTAGCAGATGACGGCAAGTTAGGAACTAGAGAGCTTTTGAAGTCATTGTTTCATGAGAAAACTGAAGTTCAAAGTGGGTTGTACACGCTGACAAAGCTAGTTAACGATGAACAGCACCATAGTTCATGACTCTAGGTCTAGTCCAGTCTAACCCTCTGTACCTATGGTGGCCCCGGGATTTCTCCAGGAGGTTCTGATTTTGAGTATTCTGCCTTTTCTGCTCTCATGGTACTGTATCTGACGGTTGTCCCACCTCAGGTTGAGGCTTAGCAGGAATTACAGTGTCTCACCACATATCATTGAGCATGAGTCAACCATCTGTCTCAATCTAAGGGCAGACTTTCTTTTCCGTTCTGAAACCCCACTTAAGAAAGTTAATAACCTCAGGCCTCGTAGAAATTGCAATCATTCTTAAAAGGAGAAGTGTAAAATTTGTATTAATATTTAATTCCTACAATTTGGAAGAATTTGAAACTGCAATTAGATGACTGGGCCCATCTGCTTCCGGCAGGCTTGCTGGCGCACGCCAGCTCCCTGGGAGGCTGGGAGGGCATGGTCACCTTCCCACGTGCTCCTTAACCACTTGCCCACAGTCTCTCAAGAGGCAGCTCCAGATGGTTAAGGAGACGCTGCAGGTCATGATCCTGCAGCTCCAGCCAGAAAAGGAGGCAAGAGAAAGAGAGGCTGCAGTTTCCTGCACAACAGCTGGTGTCCGGGAAGCACAGGCCTGAGACGAGGGGGTTGGGGAAGGAGGGGACCACCACGTCATCAGCGCAAACTCAGGGAAACTGCGTATCCCCCCCAGCATAACCAATATGTCTGAATCAATTATGGAAATGTGGAGTCCAGCGGGCTCCCAGTGGTAAGGTGGTCACCATTTATTCTTGGCAGGGGACCGGGGTCGGGGTGGTGGGTGTGATCAGGGAGTCTGCAATTTGGAATAAGGAGATGGGGGGTGATGAGCTGAATTTCCTTTTAAATGTCATTCAGAGGTTCCTTTACCACGTCATGCATGAGAGCCCTACACAGGATTCAAAAATGTTTTCATTTCAGCCCCCAGAAGAGGAAAGTTGGGATCAATTCTGTTGGAGAAGCATCTTTTTTTCCTGTACCATTTGCTTTGTGCTACAAGGAAAATGCTTTCTAATTCAAGCACCTGTAAAAAGGAAACCAAAATGAAAGACTCTGTCACCAAGCCTGTTACATTTTCCTCCAGGTGCATGATCTAAATCAGCTAATGAGCTGGTGTCAGGAATTAACAGCTTTTCACCCCTCTCCTGGGAGTTACCGTTGTCTCCGAAAAATTTATGTGAAGTGTCCAAACAGTATTTCTTTTCTTTTCTTTTTCTTTTCTTTTTTTGACAGGCAGAGTGGACAGTGAGAATGACAGACAGAGAGAAAGGTCTTCCTTTGCCGTTGGTTCACCCTCCAATGGCCGCCGCGGCCGGCACGATGCGGCCGACACACCGCACTGATCCGAAGGCAGGAGCCAGGTGCTTCTCCTGGTCTCCCATGGGGTGCAGGGCCCAAGCACTTGGGCCATCCTCCACTGCACTCCCTGGCCACAGCAGAGAGCTGGCCTGGAAGAGGGGCAACCGGGACAGAATCCGGTGCCCCAACCGGGACTAGAACCCGGTGTGCCGGCGCCGCAAGGCGGAGGATTAGCATTGTGGGCCGCGGCGCCGGCCCAAACAGTATTTCTTTTAAGTAGCAGCCTCTCAGTGATGTGCAGCCGTTCCATTTTCCATCTGTGGCAAGGACAGCATCAACAGAAAGCATCCATCAGAGTGTTTAGGTGAACGGGACATTCGGAAGTTCACCCAGAGTGAGGGAAGGAGAGGAGTGGGAGGCATGGATGGACCAGGAGCCATGTGAAGACATTTGGGCCTCTCTTTTCCTTCTCACTCTGTTTTCCTCAGTACCAGGCAGATCATGGGCAAGGAGACCCTCAGTGAAGTACTAAGTAATGCAGTGTAGTACTCAGTAAGGCAGTAGAATGCTCAGTAAGATAGTATAGTACTCAGTAGGAAAGTACAGAACTCAGTAACATAGTGGAACACTGAGAAGCAGAGTGCAGTACTCAATTTAGCAGGACATGATGGGCCTATCGTCCACTCCTTTGGCTCGGCTGGGACCGCTGCTGTGGCAGCTGCAAAGTAGGCTGGATACAGTCAGGCACTAAAGAAAGCAGCACCAATCCCATGTTGTACAGCACTGCATTCTCTAGGAAATTTGTATTGAAACACTGATTTACATCACTTACATTTGTGTCTTAGAGACCAACTTTTTGTTCTGCAGAAACAAACAAGTTTCTTTGCAACAAACTTTTCATGTTGACTTTAGTAACTGCCACAGTTTGGTAAGATTATTAGACTAAAAGATCTTCTTAGGCTTCTGTTCTTATTTTCATGTAAACGAATAGTGATGTTCCTGCTCTCATTAGAGAGCTGAGACATGATGGACATGGGACAACTTTTGCCATTTCCTGAAGTCACATTGTCATTTCCAGAAGGCATCTAGTACTTTGCTAAGTCTTCCACGCCATGTAATACTCCTGTCCTCGGTCAAGGAGATTCACCTGTTTAAGCCAGGGTCCAAAGAATGAAGCAAACGCATAGTATGTGAATTTGCTGATTGTATTTCCTACAGTTTTATGCTGAGCGTTTTTGATAATGTTCTATGCATTTTAGTAGTAATTGTGTTCCTGGATTTAGTTTTCAATGATGGACCGAATTCCAGAATTATTTGTAATTGTATATTATTAACGGGTCGTGTAGCACTTGGAATCCTGGTCTCTATTAATTAATCTCAGTTAAGCAAAACTTGAGAAGAGTCAGGATTGAATATATTGCCAACAACAATATATGCTTTCAAAAGCATCCTAGACTCAAGACATCTTAGTCACTAAGTCAAGTGTTTTGTATTACTCAGACACCATTATAAAGTAATTCTGAGAAGTCGTGATAGTTGCAAAAATTCTGAAAGCTAAAAACTGCTTGAATGTGCTCTGAATAAGGCTTCTTTGGTGCCTCCAGTGGATATAGCATATTCATTTCTTTGCTGACATTCCTGGCCATACTTAAGTATTGGGCCAGGTGAGTGATGCCTTGGGCACGTGCTCTAATTCCTCTCTGGTCTTTACTTGGTCTTGGATTATCATCCAGGAAGCCTGCTATAGGCAAAGATGTGTCCTCAGCCTCTGATCTTTCTCAGGAAAACCTCACACTCTTCAGTCCCTTGACCTTGAAGACCCAAGACCATGTATCCCCAAAGAGATGATAGGTCAGGATTTTGTTTTTTTTGTCAAAGTAACATAAACATATCCAAGAAAGGTTAGGGCTAAAATATAAGAGTAATACAACAGTGACCAGCGCTATGGCATAGCAGGTAAAGCTGCCACGTGCAGTGCCAGCATCCCATATGGGCGCCAGTTCGAGTCCCAGCTGCTCCACTTCTGATCCAGCTCTCTGCTATGGCCTGGGAAACGATGGAAGGTGGCCCAAGTCCTTGGGCTTCTGCACCCACGTGGGAGATCTGGAAGAAGCTCCTTGCTCCTGGCTTCAGATTGGCGCAGCTCCAGCCATTGTGGCCATCTGGGGAGTGAACCAGCGGATGGAAGACCTACCTCTCTCTCTCTCTCTCTCTCTCTCTCTGCCTCACCTTCTCTCTGTGTGTTAACTCTGACTTTCAAGTAAATAAATAAATCTTTAAAAAAAAAAGTAGTAGAACAAACTAATAAAAATTGGAGACAACCAAGACCCAAGCAAAAGTGCATATTGAAAATGGTGCCTTGAATTCTGATTTCACTGTTCATGGTGTGTGAGAATCAGTGAAATTCTACACTGTCCACCTTTGCTAGGATGCTGGCCTTCAAATGGTCACCTGTTCCTCTTCCAGCATCCTGAGTTAGAGCATGTTCTCCATCAGTGAAAGTCCCAGTGCCTTCCAGCTTCTGAAATTTCAAGAATGAATTAACCCTTCATCAAGTCAAATTAGGGTTCTCCACCATAGACACATGCATGGGTCAGTACAGCTGTGATAGCCTGTAGCCCTCATCTGCTGTAGATCTCGTCTGTAATGATGTCTGCAATCGCCACAGCAAGGTTGATGTTTGTAAGTGACACGACTGAGCCTGAGGAAGACATAATTCTGTTTTTCTCAAGGCAAAGAGCTTGGGGTAAAGTGAGAGTAAACCTCACAGTCAGAGACAGGCAGCAAGTTCTTAACTAATGCTCTTCCTAAAGTGCCTTCAATGTCTTTTTGGGACTGTGACCATGGAACTTGCCTGGTTAAGAACACCCAGACTCCTTAGGGATCTCTCCTGGAGAGTTAGAAAAACTGAGCCAAAAGCAAACCAGGTTTCCCACGTCCCCCAGGTGAGCCCCACTGTGAAGCCTAGGCGTGGGCAGGCTTCAAGAAACCTACCCACCATACCACCATCCTAACCTGAACATTCCTCATCTACCCAAAAGCCATCCCAGAAACAACACTCACAGTCCAACACTGGGCAGATTTTACAGGAGGTCCCCATTCAACTGGTGTTTCTCAGAAGGCAGTCAATTCTGTACTGTGGAGAGGAACAGCCATGCACTCACTGGTCAATGCCTTCTTATTTATGTAATTAAATATGTTTATTTTTAATATCCTCACTTTACCTAATCTTTGGATTTTATCATGTAATTTATTACTTCATTAAGTTTATTTTTTGTCACATGAATTTAAAACTGATATTCAAGCAATGGTGCACCTTGAGGATTCTTTATCTTCTGGAATATGGATGATAGAAAAACGTATCGGGTTTATTCACCTCATTTTTTTGTTGCAGGATGATTAATTGTACCTTTACTTATATCACACAAAATGTCGTAAAACTATGCTTCAAAATTGTGTATATATTTACTTTCAGATATCAATAAATCAGAAAATCATGGAATTTTCTATTCCAGACTCCTTTATTGAAGAACTTGAAAATAGCATTACTACTCAAGTTGATAACAAGACAAGGGTCCCCACTAACACCACTGAAAATATTTTGCTGGAGATATTGGCCAATTTAGTTAGGCAAGAAGAATGTATAAGGCTCACAACTTGGAAATAGGAGATACAACTTTCATATGTACTAATGATGATGTCATTGTAAGCTAGAAAATCTAAGAAAATTAGCAGAAAAAATGTTTACACAGTTAACATATCCAAATCAACAGCTTTTATAAATGCAAATGCTAATCAGAATATACAGCATAAAAGAAGACCCCACTTTCAACAGCAAGAAAAGCAGAGAGAAAGCAGCTGGGCATAAATTTCAATAAGAATGTTGAATCTTTGCTGAAGGGAAGTTCAAGAAGGATGCAAGAGAAGAGTTGAATACACAAAAAGACATGGAGCTTTGGATGGGTAAGTCATCATTAATTGTCAAATCTCCATGAACTAATTTACAAATATTTCCTGACCCTAACTGGGGCCTAGATATCTGGATAGACACAAGATCCATTCTTTTCTCCATCCCTTCTAACAAAACCCTAGTTAGGTACAGAGGTGACGGATATGCATGTGAGGAATCAGATGGACATTTGCAGCCTTGTTGGTAAGAACAAAAATGGCAAACAACCTTATGTTTATCAATAAGGGATTATTTAAATACACAACAACCACACTATGGGATATTTTTTAGTGCTACAATATCTTCATTTACATACATGCTCGTATTTGAGAACTGTCATAGGAAAGTGATCCCAGTGACTATCTTAGTCCATTTTTTGCTATATAACAGAATACCTGCGACTGAGTAATATATGAAGAACAAAAATGTATTCCTCAAAGTTCTTGAGGCTGAAAAGTCCAACACCAAGGTGCCAGCATCTAGTGAAGACTTTCTTGCTGTATTATCCCATAGAGGAAGGCAAGGGCCAAGAAAGCATGAAAGAGCAGGAGAGCAAGAGGGAGCCAAATTCTCTTGTATAACAGGCTCACTCTCACAATGACTAACGGGCTCTTAAAATAACCAGTACACTCCTGTGATTACATGAATCCATTATTCAGGGCATAGGCCTCCTGACCCAGTCACCTCTTATTAGGCCCCACCTCCCAGTGCCATTGCATTGGGGATTAAGTCTCCAATACTTGAGCTTTGAGGAATACATTCAAACCATCGCTGTGACTTATAATAATGGGCAAGAAATTTCCTTTTTTGTATTTACAGTTTTTCTTTTAGAAGATTGCTATTAAGTGCATACCTATTCAAAAAATAAAACCAATTCTTTAAGAAAAAACCATAATGTGGACAAGGAGTATGGGCCCCTTGAGTAGGACAGGACGCAGAGGCTACCCAGGTCTTCTTTGTATTGATGTAAGATTCATCCTCTCACCCACTGTATGTCCAGAATTGTGCAAGGGAATATCCCAGTTACTGATGATAAAAGACAGGTATGATTTAATATGACCGAATGATTTGAAAGTCTGAAAGAAATGACTGATAATTTTCATTTTACTTTAAATCATGAACTTATGTAATGAGTATTGAGTATGTATTGAGAAGCAGAAAGAGACAGAAGGCAAGCAAGAATTTCCATCTACTGATTCACTCCTCCAAATATCTGCAACAGAAAGCCAGGAGCCAGGAACCAGGAACTGAATTGAGGTCTCCCACGTAGGTGGCAGAATTTCATTCACTTGAGTTGTCACCACTGCCTCAGAGGGTTTGCTTTGCAAAAAGCTGGATTCAGGAACAAGAAGTAAGTATTAAACCCATGAATTCTGATATGGGATGTGGGTATCTTAAACACTAGATCAAACACTCAACCTCACTATCATCTTAAAGGCAAGAGATCCAGTTTCCCCAGCATCATTTGTTAAAGAAGCTGTCCTTGCTCCAGGGGTTACTTTTAGCTCCTTTGTCAGAGATAAGTTTGCTGTAGATGCCTGGATTGATTTCTGGAGTTTCTATTCTGTTCTGTCCTATAGGGCTACCCGGTCTGTTTTTGTGTCAGTGCTAAGCTGCTTTGATTATAACTGCCTGCAGTATGTCTTGAAATCAGTTATTGTGATGCCTCTGGCTATGTTTTTGTTGTATAAGATAGCTATTTGGGATCTCTTGTGTTTCCAGGTGAATTGTAGCATTATTTCTTGTATATCTGCAAAGAATTTCATTGGTATTTTGATTGGAATATCATTGAATATGTAAATTGCTTTTGGTAGTATGGACATTTTGATGATGTTGCTTCTTCCAATCCATGAACATGGAAGATTTTTCCAGTTTTTAATGTCTTGTTCTATTTCTTTCTTCAGTGTTTTGTAATTGTCATCATAGAGGTCATTGACATCCTTGGTTAAATTTATTCCAAGGTATTTAATTCTTTTTGGAGCTATTGTGAATGGAACTAATCTTAAAAGTTCTTTCTCAGCCATAGCATTGTCTGTGTATACAAAGAGTATTGATTTTTCCCTGACCTGAGGTAACTAATAGAGTACCTAAAATGTAATGTATTGGCATGAAATGGACATTTTTGCAATTCAATGATTGTTTATAGCCCTTGCCCCTTCAGTTGAGGATCCATGTTTTTTTTTTTATTGAACTTTTTTACTTAGTGTAGGGTTAACTATATGATCATTAAGTAAACTGAAAATAAATCTTTGCAAAAATTAAGAGTGGGAATGAGAAAGGGAGGAGGAAGAAGGGTTGGAGTGTGGGCAGGAAGGAGGGGGGAGTATCTCTACGTTCCTAAATCTGTATATATGAAGTACATAAAACTTGTATACCATAAAAAAAATTTTTTAAAAAGGCAAGAGAGCCGGCGCCGCGGCTCACTAGGCTAATCCTCCGCCTAGCGGCGCCGGCACACCAGGTTCTAGTCCCGGTCGGGGCGCCGGATTCTGTCCCGGTTGCCCCTCTTCCAGGCCAGCCCTCTGCTGTGGCCAGGGAGTGCAGTGGAGGATGGCCCAAGTGCTTGGGCCCTGCACCCCCTGGGAGACCAGGAAAAGCACCTGGCTCCTGGCTCCTGCCATTGGATCAGCGCGGTGCGCCAGCCGCAGCGCGCAGGCCGCGGCGGCCATTGGAGGGTGAACCAACGGCAAAGGAAGACCTTTCTCTCTGTCTCTCTCTCTCACTGTCCACTCTGCCTGTCAAAAAAAAAAAAAAAAAAAAGGCAAGAGGTGAATTTTGTATTCATTCTTTCTTGAACAACTATGCCTTGTGGTTTTGTACTAAATATTTGGCACTCAGGAAACCTAGCTCTTGTTTCCTGAGTTAGAGAATTCAGTCAGGCCTCCTTCTTCAAACACTGGGCCAAAAAGACTCACAAGTTGATAGTGTTGTGCATGGAGAGTTGGAAAATATGTCACATTCTGTACTTCATTGTCCCTTAGGGACTGTTCATGCAATCAGTGTTGTATTCAATTTTAGGAATGCTTTCACATGTACATGTCACATACACTTCCCACTGTGGAAAAGAAGTTGAAACAGAAGTTTAACATCAGAGAAGTTATAACCAACATGATGGATGACCCAGAAAATAGTTTGACTTTCCTCACTATTACTACAGACAAAACAACTTTTCAGATCCATTAGAGCCACAGTCTTTATCGCAAGAGTAAAACCTCTTCCTGTTATCTACTCATTCACTCAAGAAACATCTTTTGAGGAGCGGATATTTGGTGCAGTGGCCAAGGATGCTACCTGAGTTGCCCGTATCTGAGATCAGAGTGTTTAGGGTCAAGTCCCTACTCAGTTCCAACTTCTGGGTTCCTGCTAATCAGTACCCAGGAAGATAGCAGGTGATGGCTCAAGTACTTGGGTCCCTATCTGCCGCCTACATGGGAGACCTGATTGAGTTCCCACCTCCCAGGCATTCGGGGGAGTGACCCAGGGTTTTGGAAGGAAGGTATCTCTGTGTAATTCTCTCTCTCTCTCCCCCCTCCTAAAATAAATAAACTTTAAAATAAACATTTATTAAATTATTATAAAAGCTGTTCTTTCCAAAGATGAATGAATTTATGATCAAAGAGGCTTAAATACTTAGTGAAAATATTGAAGTAATGAAATATTTGAGTGTCAATAGAAATAAAACTCTTACTATCAAATCTACATAATAGGGCATTAACATCCCCCCATCCATACACACACACACACACACACACACACAGAGCAGGTCAGTTGATGTTGAGCAGTGATTATTTAATGATTTTTTGTTTCCTATATGATTTTTATTCATAACCAGAAAATTTGGTAAGAATTATAGTACAACTAGTTCACCTACTACATAACAGAGTGCCTGGGATCAAGCCCCACCTCTGCTTTAGATCCAGCTTCCAGCTAATGCCTCTCTTGGGAAGGAACACGTGATGATTCAAGTATTTGGGGTCCTGTCACTCAAGGGGAGACCCGTATGGAATTCCTGGCTCCTGGCTTCAGCCTGACCCAGCCCCAGCAGTTGTGGACATTTGTCAAGTAAACCAGCAGATGCACTCTCTCACTCTCTCTCTCTCTCTTGTTCTGCCTTTCAAATAAATAACAATAAATAGATAAACTTTTTAAAAAGAAAAGAATTGTTTAAAAGATTCAAGTGTAACCTAGTATTCTGCTGTTTCTAGGCTTTGTCCTTACAAAGACATTTTCACCAACTGTGGCCAGCACACTTCTTATTATTCTTTTTATGCTTTGTATTATGATATTTTCCATTTTGATACATAATCATTATAGGAATTTTTATTGCTGCATAATATTCTATAAAATTGATCTACCATAGCTTAGGTATTCTCATGAAATTGGACATTATGTTTACCTAATATTGTGCTACTACATATAATGCTGCAATGCCATTTTCAGACAAAAGAGTTTTTCTTTTCCTTTGAACTATGTTCTCAGGAAGAATTCCAAGGAGAGAAAATATTAAAACAAAGGGTAAGAAAGAATGGCTCAATTGAAAGGAAATTTGTTGGGGATGGCGCTGTGGCGTAGCGGGTTAATGCCTTGGCCTGCAGCGACGGCATCACATATGGGTGCCAGTTTGAGTCCCGGCTGCTCCACTCCCCATCTAGCTCTCTGCTATGGCCTGGGAAAACATAGTCCTTGGGCCCCTGCAGCCACGTGGGAGAACTGGAAGAAGCTCCTGGCTCCTGGCTTCAGATCCCTGCAGCTCCAGCCGTTGCGGCCAATTGGGGAGTGAACCAGCGGATGGAAGACCTCTCTCTCTCTCTCTCTCTCTCTCTCTGCCTCTCCTCTCTCTGTGTAACTCTGACTTTCAAATAAATAAATAAATCTTTAAAAAAAAAAGAAAGGAAATTTGCCTAGAGTGAGAATTGAATATAATAACCCTACCTGCAAGCTGGCCTTTCCTTTACAGCGAGAATTCTCAAACAGGTATCAGTTGGCATAATTGATTTTGTGATATTCCTGTTCATCATGAGTATATCCATCATAATCACATCAGGCAATTCACAGCTGGACAATCCCTACCATTTAAAATGAGCAACTTCGGTTCGATTTCTAGCTGCTCCACTTCTGATCCAGCTCTCTGCTATTGCCTGGGAAAGCAGTAGAAGACGGCCCAGGTCCTTGTGATCCTGCATCTGTGTGAGAAACCTGGAAGAAGCTCCTGGCTCCTGGCTTCAGAATGGTCAAGCTCTGGCCATTGCAACCATTTGGGGAGTGAACCAGCGGATGGAAGTCTCTCTCTCTCTCTTTCTCTCTCTCTCTCTGGTTCAGCCTCTGCCTCTCTGTAACTCTGCCTTTCAAATAAATAAATAAATCTTTAAGAAAAATTAAAATAAGCAACTTCGACTTTGCAGTTATATCTTATGGATCTCTTTTGACCTTGCTCTTGGGTCTAAATCTTTGCTATTTTGTCTCCAGATTAAAAGCATGAGGCCACAGAGGAATTCAGCATTTAAATACTACAGGTATAGACTGGATCGTTTTCTGTTTGCCACTTGTGTGACTTTGAGCTGATCATTTTCTTTCTTCTTAGTCTGAGTATCTGTAAAATGAAGTTACTAACAAAGGCTGCCCTTGAGGATTGTGGAAAAATGCAGAGGAATCAATACATGGGAAAGACTTTTTTTAAAAGCAACACATACATGATTTTAAAAATCAGAACATTGCTACTCTAAGGAGTCAACAAAATCAGTATAAAGGGGAACACAACCAAGCCAAGAATACTATGCCCATCCTAAGGAAAATAACTCTCAAGAACTACCTGGGGGCTGGCATTACGGCACAACAGGTTAAGATGTTGCCTATGATGCCAGTATCCCACACGAGAACCAGTTCAAGTCCTGGTGCTCCACTTCCAATACAGCTCTCTGCTAATGTGCCGAGAAAAGAGCAGAATATGGCCCGAGCACTCATTCTCCTGCCACCCACATGGGAGACTCAGATGGTCTCACTCAGATGAATTTAAATGCTTGAAATGGAAAACGTTTTGGGTTATCTCTGTTTAATATGCTCAGCCCCGCATAGCAGGGAAGTAAATGCTCTTAAACACACTGACTTTTTTTTTTTTTTTTTTTGACAGGCAGAGTGGACAGTGAGAGAGAGAGAGACAGAGAGAAAGGTCTTCCTTTGCCATTGGTTCACCCTCCAGTGGCCGCCGCGGCCGGCGCGCTGCGGCCGGCGCACCACGCTGATCCGAAGCCAGGCGCCAGGTGCTTCTCCTGGTCTCGCGTGGGGTGCAGGGCCCAAGCACTTGGGCCATCCTCCACTGCACTCCCTGGCCACAGCAGAGAGCTGGCCTGGAAGAGGGGCAACCGGGACAGAATCCGGCGCCCCGAGCAGGACTAGAACCCGGTGTGCTGGCGCCGCAAGGCGGAGGATTAGCCTAGTGAGCCGCGGCGCCGGCCACACTGACTTTTAAAACACTCTCTTCTGTCAGCAGAATTGCATGCTAACCACAGCTTGGATAACATCAACCAGAGACCCCCTTCCACTGTGTTTCATATTCTCAGTCCCCAAGCACCACGGGAATGCAGATTCAAGATCCCTGTACATTTCTCCAAGGTTCATTTCAGCACTAGTCCTCTGGAATTGCCATTTTTGCCTTCACCAAACTCCAAGGACTTACTTTTCCTAATTTTTAATCAGTATTTTCCACTTGGAACTTGTATCATTTAGATGTTTCTCTTGCCTCATGTATTTGCATTTCTTCTGTAGAGAAGGGGAAGTGTCAGTTCCTAATGATTTGAGAGTTTCAGGGTGCTCTTGTTGACTTGAAAGCAACTTTTCACTGACTAACCCTTAAAAGCAAGTCTAGTGGAATGGGGCGGTGAGGGGTAACGTGGAAGGAGGGTAAGCATTGAGACACAGCAGCAGGTTAAGCCACTGCTTAGGATGGCTACATTCCATATCAGAGCACTGGCTCAAGTCCCTGCTACTCTGCTTCCAATTTAGCTTCCTGTCAAAGTGCCTGGGAATCAGCAGATGATGGCCTGAATGCTTGAGTTCCTACCATCCATGTAGGAAACCAGATAGAGTTCCAGGCTCCTGGCTTCATCGTGGCTCAGCTCCACATTGCAGCCATTTAGGGAGTGAACCAGCAGGTGGAAGATCCTTCTCTCTTTCTATCCCTCTGCCTTTCAAATACATACATACATAAGTCTTTGTTAAAAAGCAAGGCTGGAACTCAACATTTATCTCTGCATTCAGTGGGGGAAGGGCAGGCTTCAGCTCCTACCAGGACAATGCCATCAGTAATGACCAAAAAGCTAGGAACACAGAGAACACAGACTTTGTTCTGTTTTCCCATGAGCCATGAGAAAAATAAAACCCCTACAACACAGTCATTTTTTTTTTCTAGCTGGAAGCAGCCCGTGTTTTGTGTTGATGCTGAGATTTCCCTCCTTTACAATGGAAGGAGTGAGAGCCTCTCAACAAAGAAGCACAAGGAGAAACAGAGGGAGGTTGACAGTGCCTCCTTTTGGGCAAGGATGGTTATTGAGGAATGAAGAGGACGTTTGAGCAGTTGAAGTTAATGATAAACAGATGCACGCTTACAAAATATGGGAGGAGATGATGAAACAATAGAAATAAGGCTGCAGGAAGGCAAATGACATGTTGCAACCTGTGAGAAAATTAACAAGGCCTTTGTGCAACAGTGTGTACCACACAATGTCCAGAAAGCCATCTCTGATTTATTACTTTCCCCTGAGAGATGTCGTAAATGCAGAGGGTGTGTGCTGAGAGGCTGTCTTGTTAGACAGGGTTTGAACTTTTAAGGGCAAGCACAGAAGGGCGGCTCTCCCTGGCTCCAGGACCTGGCAATTACCAGGGATGTGCTTACCTCCGAGAGACAGATGACCTGTGTAAAGGCATCTGGCTATTTTATGCCTAGGAAAGTCTGAGTCCTGCAAGATAATGAGACATGTGCCCCATGGGGGTAATTCTCAGTTGTGAGGGAGATCCTCAGCTAGCCTACGAAGTCACAATGAACTTGTTTATTTGGTCTTCCAGTGCACCTTTTAGTTTCTAGTCTACCAGCAGGCAGTAGGCCCTGAAGCAAGGTAGCATACAGTCATCAGGCCTGGTATTTGTCCTCAGAATAGTGCCAGCACTTGGGGGACTTATTAGAGTAGCCACGTGGGGAATTGAAAATTGATGCAGTTGAAGAAGGTGTCAACATTAAATCACCTTATTGTTCTCTCCCCCACCCCAACTGCATCCCTGATACCCGCCTTCTCCCTCTTATTAAATCTCTTTCATGTTGAAACGTCTATTCATGTGTGACAGTCACATGGAATCTGAAATCTTAGCCACTAAAAGATCACTATTGCTCTTGTCCTATGCATACCCTATTTTCCACTTTGTTGTGCTATCAAGAAAATATGACTCACTCTTCCTTGATATCTTTCCTCAATCATAAAGAGATCCCTTCCCTGTAGAGGAAGGAGAGGATTTTCTTGAACTACTAAAGGACTTGCTAAATTAGGAAAAACATTGATAGAAGCACAGAAAGAAAGCTTTTATTCCCTAGACATTACCTGGGGAAGACTTCTGATTCCCCCAAATCAGCCAAACACTGTTGGGGTAAAATCGATGATCTTGTTTTGAATCACTAAGGAAAACTGAATAGAATGTCATAAAGAATATATTCCACACGCTCATAACAAAATGGTTATTTGCAAAGATAGAAGGACTAAGATTCATTAGCACCACATACTACTATAAGAACATTGTGAAACGACTGTGGCAGTGTCGGTGATATTGCACAGGACTCAGTGCTATCAGGCATGCCTGCATCAATGGGGTCTCAAGTCACATGCTCACTCTGTAGTTCTCATATATGACTTCTATTCCCTCTACTTCTTTAAAATTCTTCTCACACACAATCTGCCAAACCCAACAGCGTTTTCTCAGCCCTCAATCTATTCTACATTTTGGTGGAAATGTGCAGTTTTAAAGCTTAACCCTTCTTGTTGAACATTTTTCCTCTCCTGGGTCCGTTCTTCCAATGGTCTCACTGTGTGTCCATTTTCCTCTGCATGATTGTTTTTCCTTGTAGATAACAGATGGATACCCCAAGTCCCTATCTTCAGATCTCATCAGCTCCAAAAAGTTTTACATCTTCCTTTCAGTGACCATTCCCAAACATATAATGATCCAATGAATATTGTTGTCATATTGACATTGGATCCTCACTACATGTTAGCTACTGGATTAGGCCCCAAATTCAAAGCCATGTGTGGTTCAAGGATCTCAAATCTTTCCCCAGTTTTTCCCTCACTTCATTTTTGCTTTTGCTTAACATCTCCATCACTGCCCCACAAACATCTCAAACTCAACCAGTCTAAAAGTTTTCAATCTCACTTTTGTTTCCTTCCAAAGGTATTCCTACCATTGAACAGTTCTTTACCTCAGTTCTTGGCATTTCCATTTTCCTGGAGACACTGATTGGAACCCTCACAACTGCCTTTTGCCTTCTTCTTTATCATCACATAATCCATCAGCACAATAACTTTTTACATCTGCTCCATTGTTGGTCTAGTTCAGATTCCGATCATCTCTTGTTTGAACTCTTGCTATAGGTTTCTAACTGGCTTCCTTGTTTCTAACACTTCTTAATTCAAATTCATGGCCATAATTATTCTACAACAATAATCAGATCAGGCTCACAATCCTTTAATGGGTTTCTATTGCCTACAGAATAAAGTTTTTATTAATAACATGATGCCACCAAACCCAGCATTGGGAAGAGACACAGCATTGGGGTCTTGACATCAGTGCCAGCACACCATGGGACTGGGTGCATAGAGATGTACAGGTTGGAATGTCTGGGGAGACAGAAGTCAGAAACAACCTTTGGAAGGAGTTTTGATGTGAAAACAGAAATGTGGAGCAGTAGGTGGCAGGGAACTTATGGTTAAGAGCCAGTAAACTTCCAAGTGATTTGTGTCTATCATCTTAATCCTAGCAAAAGCTCTACAAGATAGTTTCTATTGTCCCACAGTGAAAAAGGCATCCACCTGGGACTAGGGTGTTTGTAGTTCATTAAGCCCAGGAACTCTATGAGAAGTTATGGCAACCACATGATTAGGCAATTGTGTCCCACAATGAATGTTACTTAATGTTTGAAAGAATTTCTCCATAGAGGAAGGCTTTGTCTATTTTTGTTCAGAATTGAATTTCCAACACATAAAACAATGCTCAGCATGTGGATCAATCAATGTTTGATGAATGGAAGAAAATTATTGTGCAAATGGAAGTAATGCCTTTTAGTATATGATTGAATGTGTTCTATTAGATATAATTAGGCCTACTCAGGAATTCTTGTGAAGTTAGAGATTCTAAACTTCAAATTATTATTATTATTTTTTTTTGACAGGCAGAGTGGACAGTGAGAGAGAGAGACAGAGAGAAAGGTCTTCCTTTGCCATTGGTTCAACCTCCAATGGCCGCCGCGGCCGGTGCATCGCGCTGATCCAAAGGCAGGAGCCAGGTGCTTATCCTGGTCTCCCATGGGGTGCAGGGCCCAAGCACTTGGGCCCTCCTCCACTGCACTCCCTGGCCACAGCAGAGAGCTGGCCTGGAAGAGGGGCAACTGGGACAGAATCAGGTGCCCCGACTGGGACTAGAACCCACTGTGCCGGCTCTGCAAGGCGGAGGATTAGCCTATTGAGCTGCAGCGCCAGCCAAACTTCAAATTATTTTTAAAAGTTGCAGTACTTTCATGAGAAATAACAAACATGTAATGGAATAAAGATATGATACATGAGTAATCCTTTGTTTATTTTGATGTTGGTGGGAGCATTTTGCGTGTGATCCAGAGGCAGTGCTAGCTTTTTGTATTTTAAATGTTTTCATAAAGTAACATGCTGTTGTGTGTGTTCTCTCTGTAAGGAGTCTGAAGCTGAGATGGTCCCAAATAGTGTCCAGTGTGAGCAGACAATGAAGGCAGACTGCATGGAGATCAGGGTAAGGAAAAGTGGCAACTTCTTGTTGTCATTGCAATCCAGCCAGTGTGAGCTGCCCAGTCCTGATGGGCAGAGTCCCTAGGGGGCTGCTTGACACTCGCTTTACTCAAGCCTGCCACAGGAGTTGTTCATGAACCTTTTGTTCATAACTGGAATCAGTGTAGAGAGGAAGTTGTCTTTCGGTTCCTCTCCAGAATCCCTGTGGGTGGCTTCCCACCACCATATGTTCCTCTGACATTGTGCTGCCCAGCTACTTGCCTTGGGGTTCAGTGCAAATGCATCTTCCAAGTCAAGTGCTGGGGAAAACGAAGTGCTGTTTCCAGATGGCAGCAAATTAGCCTCTTGAGATCCACATTTGCCGGGAATATGCTTATAAGGAAGGAAAACAAGGATCCCTGGAGATTTTAAACAATCTAAGGCCTTGGATGGGAAATGGGGGAGCGAAGGAAGAAAGCTGACAGAAGACAGCGGAGAGTAAGGAAGGGCAGAGAGGTCATCCCTACAGCCCCACCCAAATCAGGTCTCACCTCCTCTTGGCCATGCACAGAGAAGCCAGTTTCTTTGCTGAAAACACACATTATTAGCATGATTTCAAAATGATGATCACACATGATTATTTTAAACCAGAATCTGGCTGCCTTTCATATTAAAACCATGGCTCTTGCAATGCTTTCAAGAACTAAAAAGAAGTCTTGTTTTTTTAATAGCTAGTGCTTATTTTCTACTTACAAGGAATCAAATATTATCACATTTAATTCACAAAGTCACATAGAAGTGGCCATTATTATAATTAGCACATCACAGATAAGGGCAGTAAGGTTTGCAGACATAAAAAAAAAAAACATAAAAAAGTTATGCAAGATCACACATCTTGGCAGATCTGAGCTGTGTCCTCAGGGTTGTGAAACTAGTCACTGTTTACAACCTCACTTCCACATTGGCTCCACATAATTGAAGATCTCCCTCTTGCCCTTTGCCCTCTGTCTCCCAGACTCCGAATCCTTTTGAGTCCTTCCTTACTGACTTAGGGACACAAGACCCTTCACATTTCTGGTCTTTGTCCTCAGATGTCATCCGGGTCTGTCAATGATGTAGTGCTCAACAATACACTCTGTGTGTCACCCAACTGGTGTTTGATGGATTATGGTTTTTGCTGTTCTATCAGGGATGAAAAGCAAGTTTATTTGAGTTAGTGATTCCAGAAAACTTCTGTATAGAAGTAGAGAAGTGAGACAGGCTAGAAAGGAATCCACTCAAGGGTATACTATTGAGCAGATAATTGCCCTGGGCCACTGAAGCTCACTCTGCTGGTGAACTCTGAAAAAAAGGTGCAGAGTACAGCTCAGAATATTACCCTCCAAGGGGCCAGAGTGGCAGGGATATTTATGTTCCCACTCTCCTCTATCAGAGGAAGTTACTCCACAGCACTCCCTGTCTCCCCCATGTGTAATCAAGATAAAGTACTCTGGCAGACATTGCAGGGACTTTCAACAGCACACACTGGAATGGTGTACTGCATGGCGCTCAGCCATAGGCACCACTAATGTCTGTGTCAATAGCCCTTGGACTCACTCTCTAGACCAAGCAAGAATCACTCAATTACCACAGCCCTTCTCCCTGCTGAGCACAGATACGGATTAACAACGTTTACCAGGAGCCAGCATTGTGGCACAGCAGGTTAAGTGTCCGCCTGCAATGCCAGCATCTCATATGAGCACCAGTTCAAGTCCTGGCTGCTCCACTTCCTACCCAGCTCCTTGCTAATGCATCTGGGAAAGCAGCAGAGGATGGCCCGAGTTCTTGAGACACTGCACTCATGTGACAGATCTGGATGGAGTTCCAAGTTTCCAGCTCAGTCTGATCCGGTCCTAGCCATTGTAGCCATTTGGGGAGTAAACCAGTAGATGCAAGATCCCTGTCTCTTCCTCTCTAACTCTTCCTTTCAAATATGTAAATAAATATTTTCAAAAATTAAAAGAAAGATAAAGAGTCCTCCTCCAAAGCTGCAGCCTAGGCAGCAACCTCCCATTGAGGAAAGTTGTTGTTCAAGATGAAACACATCTTGTAGCCGGCGCCACGGCTCAACAGGTTAATCCTCCACCTAGCGGCGCCGGCACACCGGGTTCTAGTCCTGGTCGGGGCGCCGGAATCTGTTCCGGTTGCCCCTCTTCCAGGCCAGCTCTCTGCTGTGGCCAGGGAGTGCAGTGGAGGATGGCCCAAGTGCTTGGGCCCTGCACCCCATGGGAGACCAGGAGAAGTACCTGGCTCCTGCCTTCGGATCAGCGTGGTGCGCCGGCCGCGGCGGCCATTGGAGGGTGAACCAACGGCAAAGGAAGACCTTTCTCTCTGTCTCTCTCTCTCACTGTCCAGTCTGCCTGTCAAAAAAAAAAAAAAAAAAAAAAAAAGAAAGAGATCTTGTGCCCTCGCTGTCTACTCTTAAACTTAACCTCTAAGAACTTCCCTTACATCATGTAATGAAGGAGGTGACCTCTATTGTCACCTGCAGTGATTACGAAATTATAGAAGACTATGACTACATAAGCATATATGCCTATTGTTGCAGTAGCTTTCTTGAAAGTTTTTCTATAAATTGTGGCATCAACTATACAAATGAGTTGCTATCCAAGGAGACTGCTATTATTGGTTTCTTATATCATGTATCAGTACAGCTGACTCTCAATCTGAGTTTAGGACTTCCCACCGATTCCCTATAAATTTTATCATTCCAGCTTGTTAAATGTTTTCCACAATGCAATTTTGTTATCCAAGAAATGCCCTATCTCCCGTAGCTTTTGGCAGCTGAAAATTGGATAATCAAGTTGGTTTTATTCTCACAAAAATTGTTAGACACGCTTAGCAGGACGGGGCTGAAGCCAAAGCCCTTGACTAGAGCTCTCTTTTCCTGAGGCATGTGATCATTACTAACGGAAGTCCTGCAATCTAGGATCTTTGGAGAGTGTTCACAATAGGGATGCTTGAGGTAACTGGGCAGGCTGGGCTGTCAGCCATTTGATTCCTCTAACAGCGAGAGCTCAGAGCCAGGACCCTGGGCTCTTTGTCAATCAGGATTACTCAATACCCTTGGTCAAATGCCTTCAGTTTTCTTCTCTTAATGAATTCTCATAGGCCGAATGGTCATGGTAGCCCCTCTCCAGCGAGGCTCGTACAGCCCTCTGAGCTCGCTCTCAGATGCAGGAACTGCTCCACGATTGCCAATACAGTTGCAGCAGTGCCTTTGATTCTCCCCTCTGTGGCTTGGCATGTCCTTCCCTCTTTCTCCTTCTGCATTTCCCTGCGGCTAGCATCTGCTCTGTTCTATTCTGACTTTCCTAACAGCTAGCCTGCTGTCTGTGCCAGGTGAAGCTTTAGGAGGACATGGGACGAGTGGGTCGGCATATCTGTGTGTGTCTGGACCTGTCTATTGGAAGGAGGTGAGGTGAATAAGAAGGGTGTATGGTGGCTGTAGCTGGCCTGGTTCGCATGGACCGTATTTTTGAGCAGTTGGAAAACTTCCATCAGGTAGAACTCATATCAGTTGGTATGCATCCATCTGGGAAGCTGTTGGGAGTGATGCTTTTTGTGTCTTTTGTGGTGTGGTGCCTTCTCCCAGGCCTCCCCACTCCTCCTCTTGGGACCCTCCAAAATGCTGTGCCATCCTCAACAGAACTTCTCCAGGGGGAAGGGACGCAGCTCTGGTGGAAGCATGGAAGAAGCAGCTGCAAGGGCAGTGCTCTCTCTCTCTCTCTCTCTCTGGGTCTGACAGCCTTTTCAGGAGAGAGCTACCTCCTCTTAAAGTGCCGGCAGCTTGTGCTCCTCCTTGTCTGACTCCACAACAGTACGTTCATCAAAACGCATAAAGAAAGAACACATAAAAAAGTGCTTCACAAATTTTAAAATTTTATAAAGCACATTGTGATTTCCAAAGCTTTTACACATTCACGTACACATTTCACATACACACAATTGCCTCACTTCACATGTGTTGGGCTGGCCCTGACGGACGCAATCTAGTTACCTGTTATCATGAATAAGTAATGAACAGGGAAACACAAAGTGGAACTGTGACCAGCAACTTCTCTGAGCACTTGACACCAGAAATCTCTCTTCTTCATCTTCTCAGTTCTCAGTTCTCTATCCCGTACCACAGGTCTAAATGATCAGTATAAAACCCCCTCTTTTTTCACCGGCCACCTTTCTCTTCTGTTGTCATGCATTCTGTTGCAGAATGGACAGACTCTGGGGCTGGCCCTGTGGCACAGCAGGTCAAGTCATTGCTTGCAACACTTGTATTCCATACAGCAGTGCTGGTTCAAGTCCCAGCTGCTCTGCTTGCAATCCAGGTCCTTGCTAATGTGCCTGGGATGCAGCAGATTATGGCTCGAGTATTACAGGTCCTTCCTTCCTCAAGGGCGATCCAGGTGAAGTTCTTGGTGCCTAACTTTGGCCTAACCCTGCCCTGGCTGTTGCTGGCGCTTGAGGAGCAAGCCAGTGGATGAAAGATCTCTCTCTCTCTCTCTCTCTCTCTGTCTCTCTCCCTTTCAAATAAAAAAACATTTAAAAAAGAATTAAAATACTCTGGCTGGATGAACTCCCACAGTGAGAAGGGCATATAAGATGGGAGTTTTTTCTCCTTCAGAAAGCTGCTGATACCTAGAACCACTTCACTGTCCAGACAAGTGTCACCAGGTCACCGAGATCTAAATTCTGACTCACCTTCTGGCCATGTGGACAGCTACAGTGCATGTAAAACATTTAATTAATTACCAGCTTCAAAATTTGGGGGATAGGCAGGTGTCTGGCATAGTAGCTAGCTAAGAAGCCACTTGGGATGCTGCTATCCCATATCCGAATGCCTGGTTCTGTTCCCCATTCCAGCTTCCTTCTGGTGTATACTCTGGAAGGCAGCAGATGATGGTTTAAGTACTTGAGTTCCTGCCACCCATGTGGGAGAGCCAGACTGAGTTCTTGGCTCCTAGCTTAACCTCTCAGCTTAGGGCTATT